CAAGAAATTATTATTTTGTAAGAAGAAACTGGATTTTTTAGCTCCCTTTTGATTTTAAGCTGACGCGTACGCTTACCATATTTGTAGATTATGGTATATTGGCTGATATACCATAATGGCTAAGCCAATAAAAAGTCTTGAATTGCATTATCCAATGATCCAGTTTTTAATAATAACTGTTATTCTACTCATTTTGTCTATAACTTGTTTAGGTGAGGTGCTGTCAATCATTGACACCCGTCAGATGAACAACAGTTATGCAAGCTTATCTCCTTGTGGAAAATTTGTTGCATCAGCAGGTACAGTAGAGTCTTGAAGAAGAGTGATGTGTTCAAAATCTAAATTCTTTCTACAGGATGAAGACTAATAATTAGCTTAATGTGAGTGGTTAAAGTGGTTGGCACACCTCTTTTTTAATGGGATGGTTCACAACCTTCCACTTGACCTAATAAACAGAAATCCTGTAACTCATCTCTGGAAGTTACTCGATTTTTCCCCCCCCTCCCCAAAAAAAAAATGTTGCCTGAAATTCGCGAGCAGTTTGTTAATACCAAAATGTGGGAGAGGGGGGGAAAATCAAAAAGTAGTAGAGACTTTTGCTGTTAATTGGATATATTAATTAGAATAATGACCATCTTAATTTACAGTCATTAATGATTTGGTCTGATTAACGTTTTGTTGTTTTTCTTTCGTCTTAGGTTTCACCCCTGATGTAAAACTTTGGGTCGTGGAGTTCACCAAGACGGATGAATTCAAGCAAGTTTCAAGAGCAATGGAGTTGAAAGGTCACTCAGCTGGTGTCTTCCATTTCAGTTTTTCAGCGGACTCTACAAGGTATGAGCTAAGTACTAAGTTCAAGTTGTCCCCGAATTGCTGTCTTCTTTCTGAGTACCTTGATGAAGGGCCATACGTCAAAATTCTAAACAAGTTCACTATTATTTTCTATCTAGGATGGCAACTGTTTCAAAGGATGGAACCTGGAAAATATGGGACATCGATGGTGAGTAATTTCTGTGAGACTACAAGCAAAGTTCTCCCCTGTATTGATTATACAGGTATGTGCCACCCCAAGAGGCAAGGTTTTTCAGCGGCTTTTTGATAGATTCGGAACATTGTGAACGGTTTGCAAGGAATCACGGGAAAAGTGAGTTCATCCAACCTGTCTACTCAACTACAAATGAGGAGGTTAGAAGAGCTGGTGAATTTTGCCAATATCTAGCGTTGGCACTGAAGTCTCAAAAAAGGGTGAAAGGAATGGTATGTTTTGGACTGAAATTGCTCGAGCGCTTGACTCATGAAGCTCCTGTTGCGCATACGTCAATATTAGAGCTTCCCGCGGCGCGCTGCCGTCATTTTTTTTTTTTTTTCATATAATTTTTTTATTAGTCGCGCGGCGGATTTCGCCGAAAGAGAGGGACTTCTCGTAGTCTAAGAATTCCAAGAAGTATCTCTCCTCTTCCTAGGTCATTAAGCTCTTTCCTCACTTCCAGAAAAAATTATCAGAAAGAGACCCAAATATTGGTCTGTTTGAAATCTTTATGACTGACTAGTAAGAAAGTGGTGTCGTTCAGCTGAGGTTCTTAAACATCTTATTTTGGTTTATGATTCAGTGGAGTTCACAAAGAAACAAGACCCTCATCTGCTAATAACAGGAATATATGACGCCTCGTTTGGTGTCTACAACAATATGCTGATCAGTATGTCCCCGGATGCGTATGTCACAGCTGTTGCAATGGGACGATCTATTGGAATTTTCAACACAGAGAATGGAAACTTAGAGGAGCTGTTAGAGGAAGTACACGGAGGTATTAGAGCAATTTTCAACTGAGTGTCGAAAGTAATCTAGAATTGCTTTGGTTTTGCTAATACTTCGATTTGTGATGGGTTCAGAGAACTCGCGCCTGTTTTTCAACCAATCAGGTACAAAACCAAAACCAGTCGTACTCGTCCAATCTTTCCTATTTCTCTTTTTCTCCGTTGAACGTTGTCCTTTAAGTCGGCTAGAAGATTCAATGTTTTTTAGACTGTTGTTTTCCTCAAATTTAGAAAAGTTCAACCTTCCAAGAAAATAAATACATTCACCCTTTTCGTCCAAAATCACTTAAAATTAGCCTGCGAGCAGGATCTCGTTGGCGCTTGCACGAGAATCTCGCGGGTTTTGCGAGTCGAGCCCGCACGTCGGCAGGAGGTCTGCGAGTGGTTCGGCACGAGAAATATGCCTGAACCAGAACTAGAACCCCTCGGATGCCGCTTTCTAACCCACTTCGTTTGCTCGCGCGACTTTCGTGGACTTCGCGAGAAACCGTGAGATGCCCATCGGCAGAAGAACAGCCTACATTTTCATTTTTTCGTGTTAGATTAGCGTCATGAACGTGTCAAATTATTTTTTGTTGTCAATTTGTAGATGACATCACAGCCATTGCGTGGCACCCCAGTTCTCGTTACCTTGCCACCGCGGGCGGAGCAGACCGTCAGATCAGAGTGTGGCATAATGCAGCTGGTATCAGGATTCAGATTGACGATTTAGAAGGGAGAATGTATCGTGCCAAGAATGAAAACGTTAAGGTAAGGTAACTTTGTTAGATGGTAACACACTGCACGTGTTCAGTTCGTGAAAGCGGCGACTCAGCCCACACCTTCGTCTTCTTTTTTCGCTCTGCGCTCAAAAGTTTCCGCTGTTCCACAAACACTGCGGTATGCTTATGAACTGAACATCTGTCGCGGGTTTAAATCTTTGCAGGTTGTCGTGATACTTCCTGTTACTAGATCTTTTGCGTGAGAAGATATAACGAGCGAGATGTTATAGTGACCGTGTTGTATTTAATCTGCTTCTTTCAGTCAATATTGACAATTTTAATTTATCTTTCTTCACAAAGGAGAGATTAGAACAGCAGATTCTTGAAGCAAGGTAAACTACCCCTTTTTATTCTTTCCTTACCACGTTTAAACAAACAGTATTGAGTTGAGTAATTCACTTGAAGCTACAGGAGTAATTTTCACTCTTAAAACTTTTATGGAAGGTTGCTTAGAGTGCATTAACGACCAATCAGAACAGAGAAATATATCACCAGGGGCCAATGGGAAGCCAGAAGCAAGCAAACTTCCCAGAGCGGGCGAAAATGTCATTCAGTTTGGTTTTCCATGCTTGATTGAGAAGGTAGCTCGAGGTTTTTACCAATCACCAGGCAAAGTTAGGAGAAATTAATGTGTAGGTGTACAGCTTTGGTGTTCTCCTCTGCGAGATATGCATCAGGAGACAGTCTAGTCAAATTACAAATTACAAATAGGTTGATTGATC